CGTCGCATGCCCCTTCGATGCCTGTCAGCCACTCACTATTGAAGTTCATTGTATCGACTCTTATTGGATCGTACTTGGTAGATGTTTCCAATTCCATGAGTCGGTGTCGTTCAGTACGATCATTTAATTTTCGGTTGTACGTTATGTACACCAAACGATCCAATCTTTTTGTATTCAATCGATTCCTTTTCCTCGAATGTATCTGTAAATGGTAAGTTAAGGTTAGGGTAATGATCTAATAACTTGTTCAAATGACAAGTGAGGTCTTACATGTTCAAATAAGCTCCAATTTCTCTCACAACTTGAAGCAGAGGCACACAAAGCCAAGATTCGCATTGCATATTTTTGTAATTGTATGGTGGAAGTTCCATAAGTATCCCACCAAAATACTGCAAAGAAAATCGTCACTTGTCAAAAATGAGTAATTATCAAACAAAAGATAAAAGTTTTCGATTGGTTACTTGGTTCGCAGGTGTCAACTCCCAATTGAGCAGTTGCCAAACCAAATCTTCCACCTTTACTCTTGTACAAGCGACTATCATTAATAACCTTCATTCTGACTTCATCGTCAACGATCATCTTCTGCATGCAATCTTGAAAAGCTTTATCGTACGACGCAATGTCTTCAGCAGAGCAAGAACTACAATCGATAGAGAATGAATTTATTGATAGGGAACTCATAACTATCGCTAATGAATGAAAATTTCATTACCTTCTTATCTTGTAGTAAACTCCTGAATTGAGGAATGCTGCTGCTTTGAATAATGGAGACTGAAAGTGCTTGGCCCAACGAGTTTCTAATATTTTAAAAATTGGCAAATAGTCACGTTCAATGTTCTGCTGAAAGTTTGCCTTTATTGCATCCTTTGCCTTTAGAAATGCAGCTGCTAGAGATGACAAATTAGGTTCCGAGTCACTGTCTACCATTCTCAAAACCACAAGTATTGGTTCAGAAGCTTTTAAACAATCTTCTACAGTCATCCAGAAGCGAGTGTTGACAACTAAATCTGCAACATGTAGACCATCTCCTTTCCCCACCCACAGACGCCAATTAAATGTCCTCAGAACTTCACATTGTTCGTGCAAGCTCTTCAATGTAAGGTACGAGGTGGCAAATCTAGTGACCCCCGGCCTAACCAATTCTTTTCCTTTCGTAGCCTCTAACCATTTGCTGTGAAGGGTTGCATGGTTGTACACGTGATTAGTGATTTTCACAGCATTTCTGATACAAATCTTGTATTGCGGTATCTTTCCTATGTCCTCAAGAATAAGATCCATGACATGTGCGGCACACGGTGTCCAGAATAGATGATCGTATTTCTCCATTAAAAGTTTTCCCGCACGAACATAGTTTGAAGCGTTATCCGTGCAAATCTGAAAATTTCAAATTGTTTGAAATTAAAGAAATGAAAAATGGAGATGAACTCAATAATTATGTACCTGCACGACGTGCTGAGGCCCAATTATTTTCATTGCATTCTCTAGACCTTCTGCAATAAACTCAGCCGTTTTATCTTGGCTAGATGCGTCGATTGAATGCAAGTAGAATGTTCCCGCAACTGAATTTACCAAAAAGTTGATAATATTTCTCCTTCGACGATCCGTCCATCCATCGGACATTAGGGTACAACCACTTTCAAGCCAAGCTTCCTCATGTTTCTTTCTTATGGAATCTATAGACTTCTTTTCTTTGTTCAGTAAAGGCGTTGAAAGACCATAAGGAGTAGGTCCTCTATAGTTTCTACCATACCTTCCAATCGCTTCGGCCATACACTACAATTAAATAAAACAATTGTAATTGTGTAATTGTATTGATCATTGAAGGGAATGGAGAACGATAATTTTATTACCTCAAATGAATGACTATTCACCACATTGAATGCAATTGAGTTGTCGTAGAAGAATTTGGCGACGTAATCGTGTACGTCTTCCCTTTCTTGTTTCTTCAAATGATCCTCCATTACAATTTTTTTTTTTTTTGGGTTCGTCGGTCACGAACGATGCTTTCAATAGTTTGTCCTTTTTCTAAACCCAACGATCCGTATACCTTTACTGAACCCGCGGTGGATGTGGATCCCACTACACTTGATGTCTTTCTTTTCTTCGATTCTTTCGTAGGCAGATCAACGTCAATAATTGGTGTTATTGGCTTCTTCGAGTTCATATGCTCGACTAACTCTCGATGCACATGGTATGGAACCTTCAAACATTTCGTGACGTTCGTTTTCGCATTTGACACGCCGGTCAAATGCGCCTTCAACCTTGCCACTCCTCCGTTGTAGACTAGACCGCAAAATAAGCATTTTGTTGCATACTTATTTTTCGTTGGGTCATGAAGGATCCCATACTTCCATCCGGGATCTGTACTAGACGGTCGTCTCGCTTTGTCTGTCAACCATTCCGGATCAATGGAATGGTGGTATACTAATTCCGGAGGATCAGCTACTGCCGGAGTTGGTAGAGGAGGCGTCGTCGTCGGTATTTCTTCTTCCGAAGCACATTGCGTAGCATCGTCGTCGCTGCTGGAATAATTAAGATCGCATTCTGCGACTATGTACTCGTCATCGGACATCGTCGGCCTGTCAAAAAAAAAAAATTGGTTGGCCGGATTCCGGCCTGTTTTGACCGGAATCCGGCCCTATTTAAAAATGGTCTGAAATCCAACTACATGTTCCTACAGGGCATGAGATTAAAAAAAAAAAAAAAATCGAGGATGGCCGGAATCCGCCCAAAACAGCCCGGATTCCGGCCATCTTTAAATCCCTTTTCAGACAGTCTACAAGGGAAAAAAATGATGGAAAAGTTGAGGACATTCATACCACTAGTAGACGTGATGATTGAAGGAGAAAAACTTGGTCAGGCGGCGACTCCGGCGAGGTCAGCTACTGCTCCGGCGAGGTCTGCCGGCAGCTCTAGGGTTTTGGAAGAAATAAAAGTGAGAGAGATAAAGGAAATTAGGGTTTTATTAGAAGGGTATTGGGTTTATATAGTTAGATAGAAATTGGAGGGGTAGGAAGGGAAATAAAAATACTTTAAGTTATTTCACATGGGTAATGGGTTGCCCCAACCCAATAACCCAACCCGACCCGACCCGATTACCCAACTAAAAAAAGCGTTTTAGAAAGCGGTCCTGGAGGACCGCTTTGACGCTTTAAGCTAAAAAAGCGACGCTTAAAGCGTCGTTTTTTGAACTATGGAGAAAACTAATTTCATACCTTAAAAAGTGGATTACGAACCACATTGAAAGGAATTCCACTAGAATAAAAAAATTCAGCCACTATGTCATCCACAATAGTCTTGGCTTCCTTTTTCATATGATCTTCAATTGATGATTGTTTCGACTTGGAAGTATTCCTCTTTCGAACAACGTCGTGGACTGTTTCGTTGTCTTCCAAACCCAAAGCATTCATCTTCTTTAATAATCCAGATGTTGATGGCTTGTTTGATCCTAGCACACTTGATTTTGAAGTCGAAATTGTTTTATGCGATTTCTTTGATTTCTTCTGCAATTTGATGATATCGATGATGGGAGCCTTGTCTTTCCTCTTCTTTTTCCCCATATATTCCAGCAATTCATTTGCAATCGCAATGGTTGTATAATGACATTTTTGAACATTATTTGTACCGTGAGTATCTCCGGTAAAATGTTCCTTCAAGCGTCCTATTCCACCACTGTTGGTTTTTCCACATAAAAGACATTGTACTTGATAGGACTTCGAGAAGTCGTTGATTACTCCATATTTCCATGCCAAATCTGTAGATTTAGTAGGTCTTTTCGATTTATCCGAAATTACCTCCAAAGGTATGGATTTGTGGTACACAACATTAGGATCTGGTTGAAAACGAATTTGGGCAGCAACAGTGGCTGCAACATCAGGAATAGGGTCAGGCCTTTGAGCTGTAGTAGCTGCAACATTTTCAGCAGTAGTTGCTGGAAATTCTGGAATAGACTCAACTGTAGTGGCTGCAACATTTTCAGCAGTAGTTGATGGAATAAAATTGACTTCCTCGCTGTCCAGCAACTCTAATTCATCTTTTAATTCATCCAAATCGATATGCACATCATTTCCAGCTTCATTTTCACCAGAATGACTGGATTCTTCACTTAAACAAAGTACATAATCGCTGGATTCTTGGGAAGACATGATCGTGGAGTGGGATAATATTTCAGACCGTAGGAAGTGAAGAAAATGTCAAACAAATGTGGAGGAAAAGAAGAAGAAAAAATTCTGATGGTGGAGAATCAAAGAAATGTGAAAGAGAAGAAGAAGAAGAAGGAAAAAAATTCTAATGGTGGAGAGTGGAGGAGATGTGAATGGAGGAGAGTGGAGGAGAAAAAGAATTATAAGGACAAAGGAGGCAACGGCTAGGGTTTCAAAGAATAAGATTTAAACTTATAAGGATGAGGCTTTATTAAATGAACTTATAGGGTTTCAAATAACTTGAAATGAGACTTTAATAAATTAAACATAATGGGCTTTATTAAATAAAGCCCATAAGTGAAATATTTATAACCGGGTCGGGTAACCGGGTCAGACTCACCCCATCGACCCATTTACCCATCCCAACTAACCGGTCACCGGTTAGTTGGATTTTACCGGTCAACCGGTTAACCGCCGGTTTTTAAACCTTGCAATGAACTATGCAGAAAGTTAACACAACAAAATAAATGAATTATGGATCAGTAATATATCTGGATAACTAAATATCCATAAAATATAACCAATTGAAGGAATATTATAAAAAGCATATATTCATATAGATATGTTTTTGGCATTATACTAAAGCTGAACTACATAGTTTTATTTTATTTATTTTATCAGATCATCATTAAAAAAATGTAACGACTGGACTTATTTTGTTAGTCTGTTTACTCCTGAAAACACATGATGAACTTATGTCTAGATAGGAACATAGGATTACCTATAAACAATTTTATAAGAAAAAATAACTATATGACTGTAATGTATTAACAAAATCTTATGTGTGTATACCTAATTTCAATTCATAGAAAATCTTGCATGTATGTATACCTGCACATTACGGATGTATGTTCGACTCCATAACGGTTCAAAAACCAGATTGGAGAACCTCAGAACAGTGAGATTCTCAATACGATCCTTCCCCAAAGGTGATCTATTCTGGAACATAGATATTTCATCGTCAAACACAAATCGTACATGGAACAATTAAAAAATTACCATGCATCAAAATAACAACAAAAGATTGCTTATAAATAAGGTCAAACCATAGTTCAAAAAGCGACGCTTTAAGCGTCGCTTTTTTAGCTTTAAGCGGAAAAGCGGTCCTCCAGGACCGCTTTCTAAAACGCTTTTTCTGGTCGGGTTATCGGGTTGTGTCGGGTTGAGTTATTGGGTTGGGGCAACTCATTACCCATTTGAAATAACTTAAACTATTTTAATTTCCCTTCCTACCCCTCCAATTTCTATCTAACTATATAAACCCAATACCCTTCTAATAAAACCCTAATTTCCTTGATCACTCTCACTTCTATTTCTTCCAAAACCCTAGATATATGGGAACTGAATCCCAATTTCATCATTGCATGAATGAAATGGAAGAAATTTTAAGAGATAATATATATATTGGTGCACGTCTAGATGATTAGGTTATATGACTTGTAAATGTTTTTCAAATAATTTGGATGATGTCTTGAATAATTACAGGTTTATATATATTTTTTAAAAAATTACAATTATTTACAATAATGCCACTACCGCTTTTTCAGCTTTAAGCGCGCTCAAAGCTGAAAAAGCGGTCAATGGAAAAGCTGACCGCTTTTCCGCTTTTTGAACTATGGGTCAAACACCGAATCCTTACCAGTATATCTGCTTCTCTTCATATTTGGACAGAAGATATCGATTCATCTGATGAAAAGAAAGCATTCAAACCAAAAGGCTTCTCAATTATTATCCGATTCCAACCCCTTTTTGACTGAGCATTATCTGCAATACATGATGCAACATCCAGGAGTGCATCTTGTGGTACAGAAATGTTAAATATTCTGTTGGCTTCATCACCGACATGGCAAAAGAGACTAAAGGTTAATTATGATGCATTTTTCAAAGAAAATAGAAATTAAAAGAGGTTTTGCTAAAAATAATTACCTCGTTATTTTTCATACGATGATCAAGTATTGCCATATCAGCTTTATTGTCCAAACCACCATTAACATGGAATGTCCTATTGAGAAAATTGCTCATTTTGTCTCCACAGTTTTCTCTGTGCAAAAATATTTATTCATATATTAATATTGAATAAAGAGAGTTGATGTGATCCCCAGGGATGATCTCTAAACTACATATTGATACAAAATACAATTGAATACATAAAAAGAGAGAAATTTTATAATTTAAAAAAGAATAATCTTGTGCAACATGGGCAATGAAAAAAACCCACAAACTGATGAACCAAAATAGATAGTTTTTTGTACTAATCAAGTTATTCAATCAGGCTGATATTTCGTACTTGTGATCAACACGGCAAGTCAAAGTTCCTGCTATTATTGATCTTAGATCTTCATCCGACAGTTGTTTTCTTGTATAGCAAAATATACCAACATCCTGCACATGATATGTGTAGAAAATCCAATGAGAAACAATATTCAGAATGCAGACATGACAAGCATCATTTTTGTGTGCACAAAAAGAAAAATATATTAGAAATAAAACTCTATTTTTAAAAAAACAGAGTGAGAAATCTTCGAATTAATTTGTACTAACCAATGTAGAAAAAAAACTCCATATCAGCCGGATGGAATTAAAAAACATCAGCATGAATCAGATTCAAAATGTGGACCTAAAAGAAGAGAGATCAGATTGAGAGTGTGCGCCTATTTTCTATACCTTTGTTGTATATCATAAAAAAACACCTGCAGAAGTGATATTCAGAAGCTCGTATGTGATGGATGGATGGAAGAAGAAGAAACAGTTTACCCATCTGAAGCTGTTGGTACCATGGACCGCGGACCGCGGCCCATGGATCGAACCGGACCAGCCGGTCCAGACGGACGGACGGACGGGCGGGCGGACGAACGGGCGGACGGGCCCGACCGAACGAGCCCACGAGGCCCAATGGCATCAAGTGAAGGCTATAAATACCTCCCCTGGTCCAACTGGGGGAGGGGTTGATAATTCTGAGAGGGAGAGACTTGTACTAGGTTGGACAGTGAGCTAGCTCCGGCGAACCCGCACACCAACAGTGGTGAACCTGACGTGAACAAATACATGACGGCCGGAGAGAGAAGGATGACGAAGAGTGGTTACCAGGTGGGGCAGAGCTCTAAGCGACCCGAGCGGGCGGCGGAGGAGTACCGGCCGGAGCGACATCACTCCCGCGACCGGTATTCAGAGGAAGTAAGAGCCAACGAGGAATGGGACGACGAGGACAGACTGCGCATGGAGCTCGAGGAGATCAGATACGGGTGGGAGTCACCCAGGGGGCGTCGGCACAAAGAGACGGCGTCCCCACCCAAGGTCAGGAGAACGCGGTCCCGGTCGCGGTCCCGGGAGAGAAGGGAAAAGGAGCACGAGAGGCTCCGGCGAAAGGAGCGCGCCGAAGAAAGAGAGCGCGCGGAAAGAGAGAGCAAGCGGGAGAGGATGCAGCTCGTGGAACTGATATCCACCCTGCAGGAGAGCCAGCGGCAGCTGCAAGAGCAAGTTCACCAGCTTACGGTGACCCCACACACCCTGGAGTCGGACGGGGGCGGGGGAGGGGACCCCATGTACGGGCCGCCCGCCCCCCCGGAGGGGAGACTGGGCAGCGACGCCCCACCCGTGGAGGCCCCGCGAACCATTGTGGCAACAACGTCGGGAGGGGGCAGCGGGGAGGCCCTAGCGCAGCACCTGCTAGACGAGGAGTACCCGCCAGGCTGGAGAGCCCCGAAGATCCCTTATTACAAGGGCGATACAGACCCAGAGGACCACCTGCACTCTTTCAAGACCAATATGGAGGACAGGACGAACAGGAAGGACGTCTGGTGCCGAATGTTCCGAAGGGCCCTGACGGGCGATGCGATAGCCTGGTACAGGACGTTGCCGACGGGGTCCGTGCATACCTACGAGGGCTTAGTGGCGGTATTTCGAGCGGCTTTCGCACACCGCCGAAGGAGGCCGAAAATCAAGGCCGCCCTCAGTACCGTCGTACAGGGGGAGTCAGAGAGCACGCGCGCGTATATGGACCGTTTCGCGAGCGAGATACAAAAGATTGAGGGGATCTCAGAGGAAGTGGTGTTGTACGCCCTAACGAACAGCCTCCGGCCCACGTTCTTCGCGGGTGACCTGATGAGGAAGCCACCGAAAACCTTCGCCGAGGCCATGGAGAGGTCCCACGGAGAGAGCAATGTGGAGGACTACCTGGACGCGAAGATCCAGGAGTACAAGCGGCAGCAGAGGGGGAAGGGCGCCCCCGCGGGCGCGGGGGGAGGGCAGCAGCAGAGCCAACCTCAACCCCAACAAACGCAAGCCAAGCCCCCAGCGGCGCCACAGACGCCGGTGTACAGAACCGGCACCCCGGTAACAGCGGGACGAAGGGAGGCAGGCCCCGCCCCGGCAGCGAACCAAAGACAGGTTTTCCTAACGTTGAGCGGAACAGGAACCCTACCCCTGCCGAGACCAATGAGAAAGGACACGGCGACGTTCAGGGACACCCGTCGGTTTTGCGAATACCACGAGGACAACGGCCATACGACGGCCGAATGCCTAAACCTAGCAAAGGTCCTCAGCAAAATGAAGCCCGCGAACGGAGCCCCCCAAGCCCCGACGACAAACCGCCCGACGATAATACCCACGGGACACCAGGCGCCGAAGCAGGAGCCAGCGGACGAGACCATAGGGGACATCCTCACCATCGCGGGGGGCGGAGCCTCGAGAGGCGACGACCCGTGGGAGGGACGGCGGTACGCGTCCGACGTGGACCGGGCAGCAGGGGCCAAGCGCCCGCGAATAAACCTGGATATCTCGTTCACGGAGGACATGAAGGATATCACCACTCCCCACGACGATCCCTTGGTCATAACCCCCATCTTTCAAAGGGGGGACAAGTCCAGCGTGCGACTGCATAGGGTCCTGGTGGACACGGGGGCGTCGGTGGACATACTGTACTGGAACGCCTTCGTCGACCTCGGCTTGGCCCGAGCGGACCTACTGCCATGCCGGGCTCCCATCAGAGGATTCGGCCAGTCAGAGGTCCCAGTAGCGGGAACGTTCGCCCTCCCGGTCACCCTGGGACGGCATGCCCAAGCCAAGACGGTCGAGGTCATGTTTACGGTCGTCAACTTCACATCGGGATACAATGCCATCCTGGGAAGGACGGCGCTGCACGCCTTCCAGGCGGTGATGTCATCACTCCATCAGTGCCTCAAGTTCCCGACCGAGGCAGGGGTGTGTACGGTCCGGGGATCCCAGAAGAAGGCGCGTGAATGCTACTTCAATTCGGTCGGTGAAGTAATGACATCGGACGAAGGCCTACCCCACTCGATGCGGGAACGCACGGCAAGATCCGAACCGGCATCCCACACGACCCAAGTGGCCCTCGGGCGGGACGAAGTACGAATGGGAAAGAACCTCCCACAGAACATCAGGGAGGGTCTAGAGCAGCTCCTTAGAAAGAACGAAGATCTGTTTGCCAGCGAGTTGGGGGAATTGGGCGGCGTACCCAGGACGCTGGCGGTAACCCCGGACGCCCACCCCGTCAGGCAAAAATTACGCCCGCTAAGGGCGGAAAAAAGGGAGGCGTCCGAGCTGGAGGTCAGGAAGCTCCTCCAAGCAGGGTTCATTCGTCCAGTACGCTATCCCGCCTGGCTGTCCAACGTGGTGATGGTAAGGAAAGCAGATTCGGGGTGGAGGATGTGCGTCGATTTCACCAACCTGAACAAAACGTGCCCCAAGGACAGCTACCCACTGCCGTCGGTGGACCGGCTGGTAGACCAGAGTTCCGGGTGCGGGATGCTGAGTTTCATGGACGCGCACTCGGGGTACAACCAAGTGCCCATGGCATGGGAGGACGAGGAGAAGACGTCGTTTATCACAGAGATGGGCACGTTTTGCTTCAGAGTAATGCCGTTCGGCCTGCGCAACGTCGGGGCGACGTTCCAGAGGCTAATGGATAAAATATTCAAGGCGCAGATAGGAAGGAACGTAGAAGTGTACGTGGACGATATACTCGTCCGATCAAAGGAGGCCGAAACGCACTTGGCCGACCTAGAAGAAACCTTCGCCAACATCCGTAGCGCAGGACTCAAGCTAAAAGCGAAAAAGTGCGCGTTCGGAGTCAAGGAGGGGCATTTTCTCGATTTCCGAATCACACCCGAAGGAATCAAGCCAAGGGAAGAGAAGGTGGAGGCCGTGATGGCCATGAACCCCCCGCGGACGCTGAAGGAGGTCCAGAAGCTGAACGGGAGGGTGGCGGCGCTGAGCAGATTTCTGCCAAGGACGGCAGATCGTTTGAAACCTTTCTTCCAGTTGTTAAGGAACCCGGGACCCAGGGTTGTATGGTCAGACGAATGCGAGACGGCGTTCAGAGAACTCAAGCTCCAGCTTTCGAGCCTGCCGACGCTCCGCCCACCAACAAGGGGAGAACCACTCACCATGTACGTAGCATGCTCGGGGGCGGCCATCAGCGCACTCCTGATCTCAGAAACGGGAGGCACACAAGGCCAGTATACTACCATTCCCGGTCATTGGTAGGAGCGGAGGAGAGATACCCGGATATCGAGAAACTAGCCTTGGCGGTGGTCTCGGCAGTCCGAAGGCTAAAACCGTACTTTCACGCTCACACGGTCACGATCCCAACGGCTTACCCACTACTGCAACTGCTGCAGAAGCCGGACGTCTCGGGAAGACTAACCAAGTGGGCCATGGAACTCAGCGAATTCCATCTGGTAATCGTGCCGGCAAGGGCAATTAAGGGACAGGCGGTGGCGGA